GGTGGTAACCGTCAAGCCGATGTATTCTCTCGTCTCTCTTCTTCTGACCCTGAAGTCAAGCTCAAGGCCCTTCGTGAGATTAAAAACCAAATAATCGGAAATCGTACAAAAAAACTCTTTTTTCTCAAACTCGGAGCTATTCCCGCCATAGCTTCTACTCTCTCCGATTCAGATGATGATTCCGACAATTGTAACAACATCCTCGTACAGTCTGCTGCTGCTTTAGGTAGTTTCGCTTGTGGGTTTGAACCTGGTGTTCAAGCTGTTCTTGACTCTGGTGTTTTCCCTCATCTTCTTCGTCTCCTTACTTATCCTGACGAAAAGGTAACATTTTTGACAAAATTTATTGACTTTTTTATTCAAATTTGTAATCAAGATTCACAATTGATTTAGATTGGGTCTTTCTAGTTTTTGGAATTGTGCTATAAAGTCTCCGCCTTTCAATTGTTTGCATTTAAAGAATTGGACTTTGGAATTGTGCTCTTCTTTAGGTAGTTGATGCGGGTGCTCGTTCGTTACGGATGATATTTCAATCGAATCTAGCTCCAAAGTATGATTTCCTTCAAGAGAAAAACATGGAGTTTCTGTTCTCATTGTTGAATAGCGAGAATGAGAATGTTAGTGGCCTCGGTGCGAGTATTATAGCTCACGCTTGTGGAACTAGCGTAGAGCAACGGCTTCTTTGTGACGCTGGTGTATTGGAGAAGCTTGTTGTTCTTCTTGATGGTTCTTTAAGCCAAAGAGAAGCTTGTCTTGAATCTTTAGCTACGGTTTTGAAGAATAATCCTGAAGCTGTTTCGCTGTTTGTTGGACTCGAGGAAAGGAGGTATTTGAGTTCTGTGACTGAATTAACCAAAGATAGGTATCCGAGGACGAGGCTGCTTTCTTGTCTTTGTTTAGTTGTTATATACAACACTTCTCCGTCTTATTTCCTAAACGTGGGAACCAAATCGAGGTTGATAACTACTCTGCTTGAGCTTCTTAACGATCCTGGTCAATCTGGAGATGAGGCCGCATTGGGTTTATCTGCTCTGATTGCTGAAAAAGAGGATTTACAGAAATTAGCTTACGAGGCGAACGCAATCAATAACATTGTTGATATCTTGAAGACAGATAGCGAGCTCCAGCCTAAACGTCTTCAGGGTTTGCTTTTGTCTCTCGCTGAATTGTGCTCAAAGCTGGAGGATTGTAGGTGTAGCTTCCTGTCATTGCAGGTGTGTTTTTCCACATTTCCATTTTCGAATTTGATACTCGG